AGGACAAGTTAGCTGGATAGGTCACCTGTACTGCGTCGAACCAGTGATCAGGCTCAAGGCTGTCATCATAGCGATAGTAGGCCTTCGGTTGTGATATCACGTGATCTTTGAAAAACTGGTAATGCTTGTCAAGTAGCTCGTCTGTAAAACCAGTTCCAATCTGAGGAAGATAGGGGAGTTAAAACTTAATTAAAGGTTAATGATTGCCAGAGTTAAAAACCAAATTAGTAGACTGTTCACAGTCCCCTAATTTTCCGTAAAATCGTCGCGATCGATTGCTTGACTCTGCGTTTGAACCCCGACGTCCGCCCCCTCGGGACATAAGAAACCAAGATGGCCGCCCTTACCGCTAAGCTCTCGATCCTGACGATCTTACGAAACAATAGCGGAATGTGAACAGTCTACCAGACTAGTGATATGTGTCTGAGAGAGTATGATTTGTGCAATAAATTTGCTGGTAACAAAATGTTGCTGCTTTTGTTCAAAAAAATGCTGAACACTGCTTCATGCTCTGAAACTGCCATGTTGAAAAGTGAAATGGTGGGCCATTCAATTGACCTTTGCTCAGTGTGAAGAGAGAAGAGTTCTGTTCCGTTTAACAAATTCCAAGAAATTCGCCGTTTGTTGAGCGATAAAAAACGTTGCCGAAAAAGCGGGAAAAAAGGGAAGGGTGTAAAAGGTGGTAAAACACACAACCAGTGCATTGCAATGCGCGGGAGACTTGCAACAGAGTTAGCGCGGGAAAATTCCTCAAATGGCAAATATCACAGCAATCAGAAAAAGAAATAAACAAACAATCTGTATTTGCTGCTTAACAACAATCAGGGACACCCAAAGACTTTTGTAAAATAACTGTTCGAAGAAGAAAATATTGTCTACAAATTTCTAGAGCTCAAAAAGGCTAAAAATTTGCGAACAACCGTTTCACTCGTCTAAGATATTGGAGTTTTTCTACTGACTTACAAACGATTTTCGGGGAATTTCAGTAGAATCTTCTAATGAAAGTACGACTAACTCCATGTCCTCGAACTTTCAACCGGAGGCATGCTAACAGTTTCGGACCAAACGAAAACGTCACCTAAAAATTTTCGGGACGAACAAAGTTCCCTTAAGATTTCCGAACAGATAAATAGTTTTGAGGGCAACTACAAATTAACTAAACAGGTTTCTAAATCATGGCGAAAGCCATTTTAGACGCTTTTAACGTATTTGGAAACATTTCATCGTTGGGTGTCCCTGAACAATGGCCGTGAACATAAACGAGCAAAGCAAACCTTTCGTTAAAGAAAAAAATATTCTAAGTTACCTTGCAGATGGTCTGAAACTCTTCATTTTCCGGATCATAGCAGGCCAGCAGATATCCGCCATATGAACCAGTGCGCTTGCCTTTTCCCAAGTAACCGCCAATCACCACTACATCCAGTGTATCTCCTACACCAGTCAGATAATCTTTTTTCAACTGCAGTGGTAGGAAAAAGACATGGAATTATAAAATGGAAGAAGCTACAAACGGCTAAAGCTTTTCTTGATCGTCTTGCTACTGTCGGAACTAAAAAGGAATTAAATGTTTCGGAACCAATTCTAAATATCGATAAGGAAGACCTTTGCGCTTATTGCATCTTAAGTTAAGGCTACCATGTGTGCAGATGTTTGCCTTTATAACCTTCCTACATGAAGCAAAGCTTTCTGTTGCAACGCTCGACAAAAAATTTGCGTGACGTAGAGAAAGCGGTTTAAGTCAGTTTAGCCTGCGTCCAAGGTCTCCAAGGTCCAAGGTCCAAGGTCAGAAAGGCTTCAGCTTGGATAGCTTGCAACAAAGTAAACGAGAAAAGTGTGGACCTGAAGACTGCTATGACAAACAAAGATCAGACGGTTTCGAACAACTGTGGAGTCTGTCGTACTCTATGGAAGTGAAACGTGGGCCCGGGCCAAGAAGATGGAGGAAAGTGTCGATGGATTCTACACCAGAATGCTGCGAACGGCCCTGAACGTGCACTGGCAACAGCCTATAAACAACCAGGAACAATACGGGAGCCTCCCAAGTGAAGAGTCAGAAAATCACGTTCGGTTGGACGATACCCTAAATAATGGTTGAAACATATAATCAGAAAAATGCTCTAAAACGCATGAGTTTCCGGGAAAGTATAAAACCCTTACCTTTCCTTCTGGGTGCCGCCATTTTGTTTTGAAAATTGCCAAATTGATTGCGGGCGCAAATGTTAATACCGACCAGCCCCCAGGCCCCTCGCCGCTGTTTGTTCAAGTTCAGCCAAGTATTCTCACAGTGAAAGATTCAATTCTCTTTCGCTCTGATCATTTTCAGGAGGATGCGTGGTGTAGTATTACAGTATGTTCAAAACACCGAGCTGAACTCGGAATATTTTGGTGTCCAGGAAGAAAATGCGTTATTCGCTTCACGGGGGTCGCAAAAGCAGGTCGGAAAAAGGAGAAAACTTAGAACTGTTCAAAGAAACAATGATTAGTGTTGTTGGTCATGCTGAAGTCAATGTCAGGGCAAATAGCCAACTTAACTTACTTAAACAGTGAAACCTCTATTAAGCGGACACCTTCGGGACCTTCCCAAGTGTCCGCTTAATAGAGGGTGTCCGCTTAAAGGGTTGTAAAAATTGCGCAATGTTTGCAACATTCAACGGTTACTCTGTGCTGTGATAAAGTTGCATTTTGTTAAAGAAGCTATCGAGAGTTCAATTTCATTACCTTTCATTACCAACTTTAATTTGTTTGTAAATGTAAAAACACTAACTGACTATAGTACGTATTTCAAGGACGTAATTGTCAATTCTGTCCGGTGTCCGCTTAATAGAGGTTTTTAACAATAGAAATTAGCCAAATACAACGTATTTTAGTGTCCGCGTCCGCTTAACTTTTGTCCGCTGAATAGGGGTTTGTTATAGAGGGAAATATCAGACGTTTGTTTCGGGACCCGGCTTAGTGTCCGCTCAATAGAGGGTGTCCGCTTAACTGGGGATCCCCTTGATAGAGGCTTCACTGTATTACAAAATGCAAATTAACTGGCCGTGAGATTGGCTAACCTCCCACGCAGACATTGTTAGGGTTCGTCACGCGTTCCTACCCAACATCTTTCTCTCGATACAAACGAAGCAAAAACAATACAGTGAAACCTCTATTAAGAGGAAACCTTCCCAACGTCCGCTTAATCCGGACGTAGTTAAGCGATAAAATAGGCCACTTGCACTAAGAGGTCACGTGATCAATGCTTCCTTCAAACAATGAGTTGGAATATTGCTGATGCCAAAAATTGACAGAGCACATAAAAATCAGCTTACACCCGAAATTGAGAGGAAACGAATTTAAGGGAGATATTTTATGGCACTTTGATTTTTCAGCAAAGCAGTATGATTTGTATTGGCCGCCATGTTGGAGGGCATACTGTTGCCCTCCAATATGGCGGCCAAAATTACTTTTTGCTAATATCTTGTTAAACGTTTGATAGTTACGCTCAGATGTGCTGTAAACGTTACCACATCATTTTTTCGACATCCTTCTTGAAGTTTAAGTGCAAAGCTTGTGTTGAGAAAGAAATAATCATAATTTTAAAAATCACATTTTGGTCACGTGACCAGGGAGGAACTTATTCATTTTAAGAAAACGGCGCGGGTAAGCAGAACCAAATCACTATTATTCTGTTTAAGATATCACCCACTAATAGTTTTTCGAAGGCAAAATCATATAGCTTTCATTTTCATGAAAACTACGTCACATGACCTCTTAGTGCAAATGGCCTATTCGTCGGAAATAAGCGGGAATGTAAGGATCCTCATGGCAAGATTAGTTTAAGATGTTTCTTTTTTTTTTGCGATTTTTACCGCCCAAATGCTCTGAATACGATAAACATGCAAATATTTGTTGTTGTTTTCAGTCACGAAACAATATATTTTTTTAAACCTTCCCGGTAACGCGCTTCCTGTTTTAATAGGAAGTACAAAGTTCAAAACCTCTGACCAGATCCCGGGCTGAGGTTCTCACTATCGCAATCACGGTCAGAGTTCGGTCCATGTTGTTTATTTCGATTGATTGACAACTAAGTT